AATAATACAATAATAAAATAATTCAAACCTATCTAAATATGGTTAAATTTTAGGCACCTACACTAACAATCTTTCAAGGCATTATATGGAAGGAAATAAAGGTCACTAATATATTGGGATGATATTGGTAAGAGGAAACTATTGGGACCTAAAATGGTCCAACAAACCACCAAAGTGGTGGAGCTGGTTAAGGTGAGAATGAAGATAGCTCAAATTAGATAAAAGAGTTATGCGAGATAGAAGGAGAAAAAGCCTAAAATTTAAAGTGAGAGACAATATGTTCTTGACAGTAGCACCGATGAAGGGAGTAATGAGATTTAGAAAAAAAAAAAAAGAAGTAAAATTAAGTCCGAGATACATTGGACCATTTGAGATATTAGAGAGAGTTGAAGATAGAGCATATAGATTAGCCTTGCTCCATCCCTTTCTATAGTGCATAATTTTTTCTATGCATCCATGTTAAAGAAGTATGTCGTGAACTCGAGCCATGTTTTGAGGTTTGGGAGTTAAAATCAGATTTTAGCTGTGAAGAAAGACTAATCCAAATCCTAGATCGAGGGGTTAAGCAATTAAGGAACAAGCAAATTCCTTTCGTGAAAATCTTATGGAGAAATCATAACAAGGAGGAGGCTACATAAGAGAGAGAGAGAGAGAGAGAGAGGCTAAAATGAGATTGAATTATCCAAAGTTGTTTGAGTAAGTTTAATTTTGAGGATAAAATTTTTATGAGGAGGGAGGAAGTAATACTAAAAAATTTAATTCTAAGCTTTAGGTGCATATTTTCTTTGTTAATTATGTTCATGCTATGCTTGTGATTTTTTTATGATACATGTTTTATTACATATTAGATGTTTATTAAGTGTTATGTTATGTGTGAGTAGTGAAGTAAATGACAAGTAAAAAAATTAGAAAATATAGTTTAATTAAATGATTTTCATATATGTATAACATGTAAGTTAAAATGCAATTAGTGATCTAAATAAGTGTTAATCTAGAAAAATAATGTTCTAATTAGGTGTTTGCCATAAATTAAAATGTTTAGGTGGAAAGCAACCATTATAGGAAATATATCTCATTAAGGGCATTTTGGACCAAAAATTTTATATGAGATAGGAAATAAGAGGATGGAACATTCCATCGAGGTTACATTTTTTCCTCCACCATATTTGATAGAAAGAGAGAAAGAGAGAGACCAAATTACTAGGTAAAAAGCTGGAGAGAACTAAGATTTATCAAAGGAAGAAGGCTGGAATTGATCACAGGAAGCAAGCTTGGCCAAAAGAAGGAGCAAACTATTCAAAAGGGAGAGGGGTTGTTTAGGTTGAATTTTTTGGGGCAAGAAAGAGAGGGGTGATCTTGGAGGGATTTTTAAGATGATTTCATCATCAATCAAATCTAAAGTAAATATAACTTTAGCTCACCATAAAACTTAGGATGATTATTGATTGAATTAGTGGAATTGTGCTCTCGAAACCTAGGATTTCAAATTATGCAATTGAATGGGTTGTGTTCAATTGATTTTAAGCTTTTATAATTGCTAATTGATTGAACATTATGATGATGATGGGTAAGTGTAATTTCACCCACACTACAAGTAATTTAATGCTCTAAATGATTAATTTTTGTTTTGAGGTGTATTAAGTAAGTCGGGTTTATGTTGAAATTATCTAATTAGTGATTGGTTGATTATGTTGTATGATTGAATGGGAGAAGGAGGAGCTTAAGGAATGGGTTCATTAAGATGAACCATTCGGCCAAGAATAAAAAGAACGAGAGAAAGATTATGTTGTAGAAAATTGATGCAACTAAGATGTTTGACTAAATGTGTAAACCATGTTTTGTCCGAAAACTGAAGAAGAAACTTGATAACCTTGGATTGGCTTGTACTTATTGGACTTATACATGCTAAATTAGAGTTTTCTCTCTTTAGGAAAGTTATAAGCCTCTTTCTTATCTTTCCAATGCATTAAGTCTTATATCAATTGGAGAACTACATCTTTTGTTATAGGCTAAATATTACCACTAACTCAACCTATTTGTTAGCCTTAGGATTCCAACTTTGCCACTGAATTCCTCTATCATACTCGCCCTAGTTTCAACTCGGGCACTTCATAAGAATTATAAGCATGACTTTTAATTATTCCATGAGCTTAGCCTTGAATTAATTAGAGTTATGAAACTCCATAAATGAATTAAACTCTAGAATATGAAATATCATTTAGAGGTAGAAAAAAAAACTTGAATTTTGACCCAATATATCATTATGGAAAGATTGAGATGTCCTCTATAAAGGCCCTAAATACCATATTTTTCAAATCCAATTCTAAGGCTTTGGAAGACCAACAAGAAGCCTAGAAGGTCTAAGTTAATTATTCTGAAATTCAATCATGTGATAGTTATGTTTTTAACAAATGAATGACCTTTGGTGTAATTGGTGATGTTTTAAGGTTTAATGAAAAGGAATAATTTGGTTGTTTGGTAAGAGAGTCATTTGGCCAAGTTTCCAATTTGAGAGATTATAGAATTAGAGGATTAAGCAATAAAAATTTAATGACTTTAGCCTTGGTTAGATATAGTTAGGTGCAACGAAATGAAAAAATAAGATGGATTTATTTGAAAGTAGATTAAGCTTGAATATGATAAAGTGAATTGTATGGATTGAATAATTGAGGAAATCTCTCTTTGTTGAATGGATTAAACATTTGGCTAAGAGAAATTTTTAGATTATTTGCCTAATGTTTCATGTTGTGTTGGTTTGAAGTGAACAAATATGTTTAAGGATGAATGGATGTGAAATGTCTTGAAAATGATTGTGTGTGATATGTATTGGTGTAGCCATATTTAGGTAAGAATGAATTTCCTAAGATCAATATTTGTAGATTTTATAATGGATTTATGTCCTTTTATGACATGTTGTTGGGAGTTTGAGATTGATGGATGATAATTGGTTGAGTTGATTATTGTATGTTTTCGTTGATGAAGATTTTGAAGCCTTGACATTTTATTTTCGTTGATGAAAATTGTCAAGCCAACATTTGATTTTCATTGACAAAAATTATGAAGCCTTGACATTTGATTTTTGTTAACGAAAATTGCCAAGCCATGACATTTGATCTTCGTTGATGAAAATTTTGAAGTCATGACATCTGATTTTTGTTGACAAAATTATGAAGCCATAACATTTGATTTTCATTGATAAAAATTGTTATGTCATGACATACCACGATCATGGGATAAATACATAGTTTTGCTAAATGAGGTGTCTATGATTGAATAATATGGATGGCAAGCTTGAGAATATTTGGTCTAGTCGGGTCATGTGAAATGTACATAGGAATGATTTAGTACCATATGATTCACGTTTATGTTTATGCTTGACGTTATATTGTAATTGCATGCACACCATGAAATGTTTTATATCATGATTTCAGCTATTCAAGACAAGAAATATATATGATTTTTATAAGCACATGATTTTTATGAGGACATAACATGGCTAGACATGTTCAAGAGGGGTAAGAGTAATGATTAACCCTTATGAGGTTCATTGAATCAAACATGACTAGAGCCTTTATGGAAAAAAGAGGACTAAAACTACATGTATTCGACAAGGTACGCCCAAAAGACAGAAAAAATTTCAAGTACAAAAAATGACGATTTTAATTGTATTTCATATATGTTTATATTTACCGAACTTAGCTTATTGTTTTGTCTTGTGGTTTAGGTGAGCGAAGAAGCATTTGAGGATCAGTTAGGTGCGTTGAGGATGTTGGTCGTAATTTTCAAAGTTTGCGAAATCTTATATTACAAGCCTAAGTTTAAATTTTGAAGGCTAAACTATTTTTAAGTTTAGTCATTTTAGGTTGTAAATAGTACACTATTATATTTTGAATGTGTTAATATATATATATATATATATATATATATATATATATATATATATATATATAGAGAGAGAGAGAGAGAGAGAGAGAGAGAGAGAGAGAGAGAGAGAGAGAGAGGGGGGATATTTGAAGTAAATGGATGAATTAGGGATAATTATATTCATTTTAAGTTTATGTTCAATTATGAATAAAAATGAAATAACTTATATCATGCAACGGAGTTGCGAAAAATATAGTAATAGTAAATGTCAAATCGTAGAAAGCCTTAAACTTTAAATTGAATAAAAAAAAAATCCATTGGACATTGGTATAGAGATCCGGGGTAGAGGACATACTACATTGTCTTGCACTCTCGAGTTTATGATAATGCAATAGCACTATCGGCTTTGATTGGACCGTGGGTGTTACATGTATAGTCTCTTTATCCTTTCCAACTTAAATTCAAATACATACCATTTACAAGAATTAGGCGAGTCCCATTTCCAAATTTCTTATGTGATCGTAAATTCTCTAAAAAGTAAATACAACACTTTCCAACACTAAAAATTTCTTGAATCAAAGTAGTACCCTTGATTAAGTAACTCAAATTAATGCCTCGCAAAGCCATTAGATATTGCTTGGATAAACCTTCATCTTGCTGATTCAATCGCGAAAAGGTAACTCGCAAGACGATTGGGAGTTGCATTATCAAAAAAATTAACATTATAAGGAATCCGAACAATAAAAATTAACCATAATAACCAAGAAAACAATAAGTGAATAAACTAATATGTCCTCATTATCTCGTTTGAAGTTGTTTCAATTAGGGTAATTATAATGTGTTCGAATGATCGCATAGCCATAAGAAACTGAAATTAAATTCATAAAAACTATTTGCATGGAAATGAGAGTAACATGCCAACCCCGAGTAAGAAAACCACAAGAGGTTTTGCGGTCCCGACGAAGATCGGATGAGCTCATACTGCTAATATTGGTCACCATGGAATCCGATGGCTGGCCTCGTTCGAGCAAATGTCCCGAGCCCGCCGATAAATTCATCACTCGCCAAATATAAAATGAACTCAAAAGTGAGAGTGAGTAAGAAGAACTGAAATTTAATAATAGATCTAAACTCACATGTCGCTTCAATCGCCGGTTCTCTTTTATTAATTCCTCGCCCTACAAATTAAACAAAAATAATAATAAATTAAATAGAGAGTGGTTATGGAAATAATTTGATTATCCAAAAAGAGTAGCAATATCGGTTTATGCACATCATATGGTTGTGTTAATTTATTGATTCGAGATAAAGTTTTAAAACTTATTTTATAATTTTTGCATGAAGAGCTCGAAAATGTTCATAGTTAGGAATGTGACCTTAGTCTTGAGAGCAATGATCTCATTTATAATTTTATCCCCCGAAACAAATACAAGTTGAAAGATATGTTTTAGGTATTGTACAAAGTTTTCAACATATATATAGGATCAACCTATCCCTAGAATTAAGACGACTAGACTCGCACGAACCTTTTTTTCCAAGACGCGACACAAGCTTTCTTCGATTAATTTTTCTAATTTCTGCAATTCTTCTATGTTCAATCCTTGCGGGTCTTCTACCTTCATATGCCTATCGTCATATGTCTCAACATGGGGAATTGGAATGTTCATCTATTATGGCGACAAGTCATTAGTCTTGCAATTTTACCTCAATTCACGGATTCTTGAAACAAGATCATTATCTTCTCCCTCTTCAACTTAATTCAAAGGTTTTGAACAAATTATCTATTGTAAAGTTATAAGACATCATCCGTTTTACGGATTCAAACTATAAAATCAATGTCATATCGTATTTTGAATAGTCCGGAATTATCATTCGAGGCTAGCTTTTCGACATGGTTGGGACGAGAGAACTTGAACACGAGTCATGCTCATCATATCTAATTGTTTAAAATCTCTATAGCTACGAAGAGACTTTTGACCTAATTTCACATTAACACATTTTAGAGATCTCGGAGAAAAACAAACTATACTCCTCTTCAAATAGTAAAAATAGACACATTTAAGTGAAAGAAAAGGAAAAAAATGCTTTTTAATGGAAAATCATGTGAAGAAAAAGAAAAATAAATTTATGACAGGTATTGAAGTTTAGATTTTGATTTCAATAATATTACTTCCTCTATTAGTGAACCGAGATACATTTGTTTTGGTAGAGTAAATTGAATAAAGAAAGTTATAGGTGATAGTTTAGCTAAGCATAATAATAGTAGGGAAGACAAATTATAAGTTTGGTTCTAATTTTTTTTAACTTTGTACTTCATTTACGCCATTATTTTGATAGCTTTTAATCTAAGTTTATGAATTTTAATTAAAAAAATCATAAAAATAAAAATCCACAACCATGCACTTATTATATGATTTGACTTATCAATCCAACGATTAATCGACGAACCGAAAAAGAATTCTTGCTTACTCTTTAACCATCTCTTTCTCTTATACATAACTTACTTCGCTTATAACGACAATAATCTTGATATGGGTGCAAATCCAATAATGTGATGTGTTACCGTATAAAAACTAATTACTCGTCGCTCACTTGATGGTTGACCGAACATGCCAATGTTCTTTGGATGTAGATTGCGCCTTTCAATCACTTGCTCAATATTCCTTTGAGAACAAAAAATAGGCCAAGTTTTCATGAATTATTCATGATGAAGAAAAGGAAAAAAAAACTAGCTAACGGTGTCATTGGTAGAAAATTCAATTTTCACTTGTAATTGCTAAATACTTTTGATGATTATTTCGAAAAAAAAAAAAAACCTCTCTCGTCTAACAATAAAGAGGTGCTCTTTTCAATTATAAATAGATCTTTATCAAAAGAAAGGTAACTATCTTTTGCAAATAAATCCAGGATGACATAAAAACCAAGGGTGCTAAACACCTTAGCTTGACAAAGATCATATTGGTTAAGGCAAGGTGATCATACCTAAAAAGGCTCACCGAGATGCAATTAATAAAACAACCAACTTGGAGAGGAAATATTAGATTGTTGCTACTATTACAGTAGGAAACCACCATACCCAAAAAGAAGGGGCTACCTAGAAACTTGGAAAAAAAAAGGCAAAACAAAGATCCAAAGAGAAAATAAAGAAGACTAGCCATATTTTTAGCGAGTAGCAAAGCCACAAAAAAACCAAGATTGCGGCGAGTAGAAAATTAAGGAGTGTGCGAGAGAGCAAGATTAATTAGCTATTCAAGGTTAGAAAATGCAAGGTAGGAGAGATGATTGAATACAAGACCAAATAGCGACGAGCAGACACCGCAACAACCACACATGGATGAAGACTACTAGAGCCAAATAGTAGAAGGATTTGAATATGGAGACCCAATGTAGCAAATATCAAATTGTAAATAGCCGACAAATAAAGCCTAGAAAGGGAGGCAACCTCTTCTTTGTAACTAAAAAACTAATTTGATAAAAGAAATATAAACTTCTAGGTTAATATAAAGTAACACATAAAGATAAGAAGAGAGAAAGCCTTCTCCCTATTAAGATTAAGGGAATGACTAAATTGATTGTGTAAATTGTGTTACATAGATGTATATTTATACAAGTAATCTAAAGGAAAAGATGGAGATTAACATGATTATTAGCTATCTATTAGATATAACATCTTGATAACTATTGATGAGTGGTACTTATCCTAACACAATCCACCCTCAAGCCTTTACGTGTGAAACATTAGCCGAAATTTGTCCTAGAGAAACTAAAATCGACGAACAGCAAGTAGCTTGGTCATGATATCGGTGATTCAATCATCGGTGGAAATGAATCCAATTTTAATTGTTCTTGATGCAACAAGTTCACACAAAAAATGATAGTCTAGCTCAATGTGTTTGGTGCGGGCAAGGAAGACTCGGATTGCTTGGAAGATAGATTACTTCAATATTGTCACGCCACAATTTTGCCAATTAGGAAGATAAGATGCCAAGTTTAGCTAAGAGGGAGTGTATCTAGTTCAATGTGCTTGGTGCGGGCATGGAAGCTGGATTGCTTGAAAGATAGATTACTCCGATATTGTCACACCATAATTTTTCTAATTTGGAAGATGAGATGCCAAGTTTAACTAAGAGGGAGCGTATCTATATTAGCTCTATAGTAGTGTTAGCTAGGGCTTTATACTCACTTTTGGTTGAAGACAGTGCTATTGTAAGATGTTTCCTAGTTATCCATGAGATGAGATTCTTCCAAAGGTTGATTGTATAACCATTGGTAGATAATCAATCATTAGGGTAGCCAACCTAATCATCGTGGGAATAGTAGTACGGTTGTAAGGGTGAGTCTTTGGCAATGAAGAGACCATGTGTTAGAGTTTCTTATAAGTACTAAGATCTCATTTTAAAGCTTCCTTATGCTCATCGAGTTGGAGAGTGCATAAACCGACAAAGTTTATTGATGATACATGAGAGATCCGGTCTAGTCATTGTCAAGTATTGGAGTCCCCTAACGAGTTGATGATAAGCTTCCCTATTTGCTAGTGTGGTACCATGATCTTTGGATAGTGGTGGAGTTGTAGCCGTAGGTGTTAGACAACCCTTACGGTATTCCATTCTAGACTTTTAGAGTAGATGCACAACGTACTTGTTTTGGGATAGAAGAATGTTGTTGAGCAAGGAAAGCACCTCGGTTCTAAGAAAGTAGTGGAGTCCTCCTAGGTTTCAAATAAGAAATTCTAGTTGGAGTTTGCGAATGAAGTCTTCCACCAAGATTGAACTTGAGACTGGTTCGATTAAATCATCACCATATACAAGGAAAAAATTTTATCGATCCCTATATTGAATGTAAATCGAGATGTGTCAACTTCGAATGCCTAAAAACCATTATATGATAAAAAAGCACTTTGCCGATTGAACCAAACTAGTGGTGCTTGTTTCAATTCATAAAGATATCGGTTTGTTTGAAATACATATTCAAGATGCTCCCTTTCGATATGACCTAATGGTTGGTCCATAAATACTTCCTTATCAAGGTTTTCATGGAGAAAGGCATTTGATATGTCTAATTGCCATAAAGACTAGGCATTTACGGTGGCAATATAAATGATAGTTTTGATGTCTGGTTGCTTTCACAACGGAACCGATTGTCTAAGTATAATCGACACGGGACTACCGATTGTAACCTTTGGTGATAAAGCTTGCCTTGTAGCATTCTATCTCACCATTAGGTATTTATTAATACAAAAAACCCATTTATTGGCCATTATGTTTTTGTTGAGAGGTTGAACCAAAGACAAGGTGTTGTTTGAGAGTAAAGCGACAATTTCATCACTCATGGCTTATCTCCATTTCGTATAGTTCTTGTGTTAGGAATGCAAGGTAGGTTCAATTTGTAAGTGGTCTCTCATTTTGGTGGTAAGAGCAACACTATAGAATTTTTTAGAGGATGAGTTATTGGTCGAAATGCCATAGAGTGGGTTCAAATATTAGGTCATTTAACTAGTTGTAGCATATTATGGATGTTGGGATCCGATGTGAGGTCTATTACAAGGTTAAGACTAGGTGATTGAATGGTAGGTGGGATAGAGCTTGGCGAGTTTTTTTTTTCCTGGATGAGGTAAGTCTAAAGATGGGAGTGTAGATTTGGGAGGAGATCTTTCGGGTGGACTAAGATTAGGACTTTGAGGTGGAGTAGGAGTTGGTGTTATAGCTAGAGTGAAATTATGTGAAAATAAAGGTGTACCGATGTTACTTGTTTGGCTAAATGAGCATGAGTATCGGTGGAGACCGTGAGCCATGCTTTGCTTGTCATGGTTAGGTGCTAGTGTTATTCGAGTATGCATGTGTTGAAAAGGGTAGAGTGTTTCATTAAGCTGGATATGTCGTGCAATATACACACATCATGTCTTGATGTTAAGATACTAAAATCCATAAGGTCGTAGAGTGTCCCATATTAACACACTCAATTGTTCAATATGAAAACTTATGATTGTTAAATGGTCTTAGGAGTGAATAGATGAGACAAGTCAAAAATTTCAAACTATGTTAAACTTGGGCTTTTATAAAATAGCCAAAAAATGGAGTCATTGTTGAGAATTAGACTAGGAAGGGAGTTTATGTATGAGATAGAAAATTCAAAGGCACAATTCTAGAATTATGAAGGAATGGAGGCATGAGACAATAGTATAAGGCTTATGTCAACAAGGTGCCTAATTTTTCATTCACATATAACATTTTTTTCATGGGCATGAAATATGATTTATTATGCCAAAGTATTTAAAATGTTTGTTAAAATTTTTACACTCACCACCCTAATTGGAAAGAAAGGCTAGAATTTTAGAATTCAACTAATGTTGAATTTAGGCTTTAAAATTTTGAAAGAAGATAAAAATATCGGTCTAATTTTTTAAAAAATATACCCAAGTACAATAGGTGTATTCATCAACAAATAAAAGACAACACCTATAACTTAAAATGGATATAATTGGGACAAGACCCTAGACATCGAGTAAATTATTTCAAATTGCTTAGTACTCTTATGCTCAACTAAAGCAAGAGGTATACATGCTAATTTACCTAGACGTCAAGATGAACAAATGAAGAAGGTCGAAGAACCGGAAGATAAGTTGTTTTTAGTGAGAATTCTACGAACTATATGATTTTGAGGGTTACTT